AACAAAGGCGAATGCCAGGCTACTGTGGAAGACAACAGGGCTCATTCCAGCAGGAACGGTAAGGTATACCACTTCTGCAGACCTTGCGCAACTATGCGTCCTGCGATGGGATACCAGAAGCACAGCGCAACAGCTTGCCCTTACAAAGACCCGGAGTTCAGGGCGAAGAACCCAACACAGAAGTCAGCGTGACTACTAGATGCAGAGAACACATATGTAGAGTATGATGGAGGAAGGTCTGTAGGTAACGATTTTCGGACGTTTATTAAAGTAGAATAGGTTACATAACACAGTATAATTTGTGTGTTGGAATAAAGTTCAACATTTTACTATAGAAGCAGACTGTAAACTTGAAAAGTTACACAAAAAAGGTAAATTATATAATACATATTAATAAGTTTAACTAGTGTGTGTGTGTCTGGCTTTTATTGCACTTGAAGATTTTCATTTCCTTATAAGCTCTTTAACCTTAGTTTACCGACTGTCTAAATTTGTGGAAAATTGGTGTATGTGTTGTGCCTAAAAAAGGTGGTTTACCAGTTATGTAAAACAAACAAACAAACAAACAAACAAAACATACCGAAGTTACAGATGTTCCCAGACCAGCCAGCGTCACAAGTGCAGTTCCCCCAGATATGGTTACAGGAGCCGTGGACACAGTTACAGGCACTGTTACAGTTCTCCCCATAGTATCCAGCAGGACAGGCTACAAAACAACAAAATTCAGTCATTCATAATTCAAAAGAAAACATATTACTCTGTCTTGTTTAAAACAAACAAATACGTGTACAGGCACATGTACATCCGAGAACCAACAAATTGAATTGGTGTGGCCTTACATGTAAGGCCACACCAATTCAATTTGTTGGTTCTTGGATTTGCCCCTTCATTTTCTTCTGATTTGCAAAAAAACTAAAAAAAATGCTCATATTTTGCCCCCAACAGTTAAGAAAAGTCCCTTTCTTCCTACTTGTTACAGTTTAATTTTTTTCCATCTATCAATGCATTGGTTTGATTAAAAGTTCAAAATTCATTGTTTAAATTTTAACCCAGCCTTTTGTGTTGACTTCATGGCTCCAGTATCTAAGCACTTGGGGCTATAAAAAAAGGATAATAGGATGCCTAGATCTGTTTTTTTGCCCTTTCGCTTCACATTTTTTTCTAAACAAATCTTAGAACCAACAAATTAAATTGGTGCGGCCTTATACACTTTAATAAATCAAATAAAATAAAATCATGAAGCACCCACCCTCGGAGCAGCGTGGCCCCGCCCAGCCCGCGGTACAGACACAGTTCCCGTTCCAGGGGCGACAGGTCGCGCCGTTCATGCAGTGGTCACATGTCCGCCCGCAGTCCTGCCCCCAGCGCCCTGCTGGACATGCTACAGGAACCAAAAAACAAACAATACAGTTATACTGTCACAGATATTAATTGTTCTAAATAGAAAGGTAACATTTGCAAAGCAAATACATATTTATTTTTTTTAATGTTTACCTTTAAGTTAGCAAATGGTCTGCTCTGTTAATTTTTACTCAAACACATATGTCATTCATATATATGGTGAGACAGGAGTCTAAATCTCTCCTGCTATAAAATTGCAACATGATGTAACCTAACACTAGTTACCATGGTAACAGACAGTCTGGTTCAGGTCATTGACCTTTTTGGTTTGGAGAAGAAGAAGAAGGAGAGGAAACATAGCAAAAACAATATGTTTTCCTTCCATAAACATAATTATTTGCCTGAGGGAATACTCTAATCACTTTCCTCTAAATACTAACTCAGAATCTAAAACTCATGCACGATTGATCATTTATTAAGCATAAATGTCTTGAAGATAGTGGTTCTAACTATTTCAAAAAAATTAAGAAACTCACGTAGCTTGTTTCTATTTCAAATGCTTCAAGACTATATAATGATGATAAAAATGTGCTTAGAAATGTCAACATCAGACAGATTTCCTCGTCCAGAATATTTTTTCTGTTGTTGCTCTAAAATTATTTTTTAAATTGGTAATCAAGAGACTGCAGACCAGCAACATCACTCTGGAACTAACTATACCTCAGTCAGTCAGAGAGGCCCATAGCCTTGTTTACTTTTAAGAGGGCGAGCAAAAAGAATCTGTTGAGCATTTAGGCAGTAGTCTGTCATAACGCCACTGTTTTAATTGTACAGCTAATATTTTGTATGTATTTCATGTAATTTTTGCCTGAGTGTATGATTTGCCTTTTTACCTTAAAGTTTGTACGATTGTTGCATGTAATGTTTGTAATGTGTTAAGCAAAGCAACAGCGGAATTTGCTGCCTAGTGCTCCACATGTATTGCCATCACAAGTTGAATGAAGAAAGAAGCACTGCAGACTTACTCTCTGCACAATCGGCCCCGGTCCACCCCGGCAGACAGGTGCAGGTGCCGTCCACGTGGTTACAGGTGCCGTTCTGACAGCTGCAGGACTGCGAACACCTGTCTCCATAGTAACCATGAGCACAACCTGTACAGGACACGGACAAACTTAATTAAAGGACTGGTGCAACTAAACTTTCTATGCCACAGTCAAGTATTTTTGTCTAATTGTTCTGGAAAAAACTACTAATCTGGAAAAATAAACATATACACAGGTCATAATAAACACAATGTACTAAAAGAAGAGAGTGATTTAGTGATATATCGTTACAAGGTTTCACAAAGCAAATTAGGGGGCAGAAGATGATTTAAAGTTTTGAAGTTTAAAACATGTTAGTTTTCGGTGCAAAAGTGAAATTCAATGTAAAAACACTCAGAACACAAAAGTATGGTGAAAAATCTGGAAAAAAACTGTAATCTTACAACAAACTGCAAGTAGTAGTTGTAAGTAGTAATTTCAATTTAAGGTATTTTTAAAAATGTAATAAGATATTAGTAAGTGTAACGTGCTCGCGATTTGTGTACAAACCTCACAATTCAGCCGTGAGGCTGCGATGGGTTTTGGTTTTCAATAAACAATAAACAACTGATAAGTTTAATAAACAATAAACAATAAAACTACATGTACTTATTACTCACGATCAGAACAGAGAAGCCCAGTGAACCCTGGTGCACAGATGCACTCTCCGGTGGCGGCATCACAGTTGGCGCCGTTCTGACAACGATCAGAACAAACTCCGCTACACATGGGACCAAAACTTCCCGCTGGACAAGCTGAGGGGAAAATGTTTATATGATTATTTTCATCATAAAAACAAGTTATTAATCAAAATATCTGTTACAGTATATACTGTACAGGTTGAAAAAAAGAGTGAATGAAAATTGAATGGATGGATGAATGCAGAATGAATGAGTGAGCAGATGAATGAACAAATCAACGAAATAATGTTAATAAATGTCATTAAATGGATGGATGAATGAATCAAGAAATGAACCTAATACTCATTTGAATGCTCAAATGGCTGAATAGTATGAATGAATGAATGAATGAATGAGGAACAAAATTGATGAAATGAGTGAGCCAAAAGAGTGAATGGTAACTGAGTGAATGAAATTATGTGAATTGAGTAGTACCGGAACTAGGTAATTGAATAAATGAACAAATGAGTGAAAAATGGATGATCATAACAACCAATCATCATCGCTGTCCGTACCTGTCTGACACCTGTCTCCCATGAAGCCAGGTGCACACTCGCAGGTGCCCTGGGTGGCGTGGCAGGTGCCACTGTTCTCGCAGGTGCAGGTTTGGGCACAGTTCGCGCCCCACCTGTCAGGTGCGCAGTTGGAGTCACAGCGCTCACCTGGAACCAAACAACAGGTTTGTTTGTTTGTTTGTTTGTTTGTTTGTTTGTTTGTTTGTTTGTTTGAGGAACCTACAATTACATGAACATGTTGTTACAATATAACCACTACTCTTCCTGGAGTCCTCTTACATACATTGTAAAATACAAACATTGTAAACTACTATTTAGTACATTTACTTCTAACTATTTTGAAAACAAAACATATCTTCAAGTTGTCAACATTTGCCTGATATGATGAAAATACAATAAATGTCATTAAAGTAACTTTGCACATCTAACATCTATCGATAAGCTCATTAAACATTACATAAAAAAATGTAGATAAAAATAAACCAGTCTACCCATTAGTAAGTACTGTTACTTACAGTATGAATTTTAATACCTAACCCAGCATAATTATCTTAACAGTGACAACATCATTGTGCTCTGTAAGCTCAATCATTGGGTGCACAAGAGAGCATAATGAACCCAGAATTTCAAGCCTGATTGTGGACTTTTGGCTTGCAACATTTTATTCACAGTACATTTCCCACTAACATTTATTTCCTTAGGGTATCATATCTGCCTGTTGGAAAAACAAATCTCTAGAGCTGATCTTCAGATTGTCAGGCAGACTAATCTGTGACGAAATATATCTAACTGGGTCAACTTAATCCCTTACATCACAATGTAGAAAATTACTTGCATAATATGTATTTGGGTGACAGTAATGTATATCATACATTGTATAGACACATCATCATCACCATAACTGCATGAGAGCTCAGTGATAGTAGCAGCAGTCAGAAAGGAAAGGAAAGGTCTCCCGTGCCCTTGTGCAGAGCGTAGGGTGGTGCCCATCTCTATTTCCGTAGCCCTTGGGCGACACACAGTTGTGCAAGGCACTACAGCAGGGGGCTCCGCTGGTAGTGCTGTGTGTTTGTCAATGACCTTCCCACACTCTTTCTCATATGTGCTGAGTGCTAAGCAGAGAAAGAAGTGTGTGTACTACCATTTTTAAAGTCTTTGGTATGACCCGGCCGGGGTTTGAACTCACAACATCCCGGTTACAAAAGCGAGCACTCTACCAATTGAGCTATTGCACCAGTGCAGTCAGGATGGGATGGCAAAATGCACTAACTGTGCTTTTGGTGTTCAGTCATCTACTCTCTACACTTGGTGGAGTTCCAAACTGTCCTGCCTGCTGTCTTACTGAACGATCCTTGGGATTCGGACGAGCGCCTTTGAATCTTCGTTGCCGCTGTCCGGATATACGCGGGAAAGCGTCACCGTGCAGCTGGGTTGGTTATAACGGAGAAGCGTACAACTTCCCCGTGTGTCTGGATGTCATACCAACTGACTTCCATAAAGACACTCTCGCTATCTTTATCAAGCATCTACATTCGTCAACTGTCATGGCGCGGTCTTTCCCCGACTCTTCACAGCTGCAGAACCTTCACATCCGGGAGTCGAATGTCTCCACGATCCAGCCCGGGGTGTTCCAGGGTCTCCAGTTGGTGGAAAACCTCTACCTTACAGACAATCTTATCTTCTGTCTAGGTATGTGACTTCAGGCCTTGAAATACTTTTTTTTCTGCATATCTGCACTGGTGCACTACATGTAGTATTGAAAATCACCTGTACCAGACAAATTACCTGTACAATGTACCACATAAATTTTACCTGCAGTGCTCAGCATATGAATCACACTAAAACTGCTCAGAATCCACCACTGCCGTTATTGTTCTAACTTATACTTTATAGGTGAATGCAGCAGTGAATGCAGCATACACATGTATATAATATATAATTTTTTTATACATAACCTGAACCAGTGCAGCTTGTGTGCAGGTAGACATCAAAAATACATTGCACAGCCCGAATTTTTCTTTTTTTTTTTGTGGCCCTGAAATCAAATTGGATGCCTTTGAAAGGCTTGAACACCATCATGATGGAATAAATTTGTACATGTCGGTGTCATTATAGTAGATACTAGATAGTAACGGTAACTTTGTACTGCTGCAATAAATGTGACTCAGAGCATTTACCTGACACTACTGAGGTATTCATAGTATACATTTTGTTTTTTTCCAGAACCTGATACCTTCCTTGGGCTCCTGAGTCTCAGAAACCTGTACATCAACAAGAACCAAATATCCTTCATATCCCAGCACGCATTTCGGGGGCTACCCGCCCTTGCCGACCTGTCATTGGCTGAGAATCAGCTGCGTTCCATGCCCGTCGACGCCCTTCTGATGCCGAAATCACTCAGGTTTGCGACTCTCACCCGAAACCACATCACTACGGTCGACCATTGTATTATGCGACTGGCGCGAAACCAGTCCTTTCACCTCATGATGAACGAAAACCGGCTGAACTGCGGCAAGAATCTCACATGGTTCATTTGTAACTTGCCCCCCCACGTGTCCTACAAGGACCTGACATGTGCCTCCCCCCCTGAACTCAGTGGAACGCTCCTGACCAGCTTCAGGAAGGTTTTGATTGAGTTTGGTGGATGCGACCAATCAGATACATCCGTTACAACAGCCACTCTCACACACACAGGCACTGTTACCACGACTACTACTAAAGCCACCCATACCCTGTCAATCATTCTAACAGGGGAACCAATCACAAGCCAGGATGACAATAATCTGATTGCCTTGATCACTGCTGTCGCTGTGCCGCTCGCCACTGTGCTGACCTTCACAGCAATCTTTGTTATCAAGAACAACTATTGCGGTTTGGCCCGTCAAAACGTACATGTGCCTGGCAGGGTTGACAAGGGAGACTCGAGTGAAGTACAAGACTCAACTGCAAGCAGACAACCAAATTCCGTCCAGGCAACTGAAAACGACTGTACCATCCAGCCATATGCCGTAACCTACGCTGATGTGACAGGGGATGGGGAAAATTCAGGCGAGCCTCAGGTTTACGCAATGACAAGTTTGCAACACCCAGGGCCATCTACAGTGACCCACCATGAAGACCCAGGGCCACAGCTTTGGCCGTATTCTGTGACCCACGATGAAAACCACTTAGAACCTGGGCTGCCTTATTCAGTAACCCACCATGAAGACCCAGGGCCACAGCTTCAGCCATATGCAGTGACCCATGATGAAGACCCAGGGCCACAGCTTCAGTCTTATTCAGTAACCCAAGATGAAGACCCAGGGCCACAGCTTCAGCCTTATTCAGTGACCCACGATGAAGACCCAGGACCACAGCTTCAGCCATATTCAGTGACCCATTATGAAGACCCAGGGCCACAGCTTTAGCCATATGCAGTGACCCACGATGAAGACCCAGGGCCACAGCTTCAGCCATATGCAGTGACCCATGATGAAGACCCAGGGCCACAGCTTCAGCCATATTCAGTGACCAGTGATGGCACACTCTTTGCAGACTCAGTGGACACTAGTTTAAGAAACTCTGGACACAAAATTAAGAAACTCTGGATGCCAGAAGCATATCTATTGTGTAATTTACTTATCTTTGCATTATGTGTATAATTATATAGATTTTGCATTATATATACATATAAATTTTATGTATGTAACAGTTATGTATATAATACAAAGATTCTTTATTGACACAACAAAAAAGTACAGAGACTTTTGTATGGTCTTCTACAACTTAATATGACAGGTTATACATGTACATCATTTAAAAAAACAAATTATTGCCACCAAAAGGAGACAATCATCAAACAATCAGTTTGACAGTCAAACCATGATGAAACCATGATCAAATAACCTAATTAAGCGTATTTTGCAGTAATTATTACCTCTCCAGCCGTCCACACAGACACACTGTCCAGTGAGCTGGTGACAGCCGCTGGCGTGGACAGAGCAGTCACAGCGCATCGCACAGTCCTGTCCATACGTCATGTTCTATAGTGGACAACACAACAATTAAATTTAAAAATTGGTTGCACAAAAAATATTTTAGGTGCAAAATATAAGATAAAATAAGTAGAATGTCTGCATTTAACTATTAATTATGTTTCATTTCAAGAAAAGTACTATTATAATAATAACAAAGATTGTATTATTTTTTCTGACACTTAGATGATAAGAATATGCTGTAACTACTTTACATTACATATGTTAAACAGTAGAAAATATTTGAAAAAAAATTGGGTGCACAGCTCCAAATTTGAGTGCACTAAGGTGCACATGCACAAAGTATTTCGAGCCAGGGACATATAATTTACTGTAACTGTCAATTTCATTCAAGGAAATACCTATGTATGTAAGATTCAGTTCAGATCTGTAGTTTTGTTAAAGGTTAAGGTCAAGCTTCCAAAAGCCAATAAAGCATTTTAGAGGCTGTATAGGGTTGCCATCCAAGTTGTGTGAAAGGCATTATATTTTGAAATTTAGTAGACATTGTATAGACGACTTATGATTTATTTTATAATATATGAATTGACTTTTAAAAATTTTTTTCCAAGATTTAGGTTTCTGACCTCAGTGTATCAAACTGGAACTGTAATCACTATAGTGATGGTTAATAAATAACTTAAGCCTTAAACGTCCTAACTTTCATGGTTCGTTGGTCAAACCTTACCCGTGCAATCACATTCAACCTTTTATAGTGCTAAATTGATGCGGGGTTTACAATCACATAGGTCATGATACATATAACATATTTGCTCCACACACTTTTGTGGAATTGTCGCAAGGGTCTGTGCGGCTGCCATTCGGCGCCACCAAGTGACCTCAATACGACTTTCCCCAACCGAAGTTAGGTACCCATTCACACCTGGGTGGAGTGAGGAAAGTCGTGTTAAGTGCCTTTCCCAAGGGCACAACATCGGGGCGCATGTCCCGGGTACAACTCGGGATCGAACCTGGGTCTCGCCGTATCATAGTCAAACACTTTACCACTACGCCACCCAACACCACGCCTTCATTTCTAGCCTGACTAAGACTAACCTGGCACGGTACACCACATGTCCTCCCGGTGAATCCAGGCCTGCAGGTACAGGTACCGTTGGCAGGGTTACACCAACTCTCGTTCTCACATTCACAGCTGGAGTTACAGCGAAGACCATACGTTCCCCTGGGACAGGGCTCGCTGCAACGGTATCCTGTCCAACCTGTGGTGGTGAACACAAATACTCTCTGTTAGTAACCCATGTACGGGTAACAAACACTTCTAAACCTACCCACATACCAAAACAACCTGATCACAGTCCATCCATGGCTTCTTGAGTTTTGTAGGGCAAAATAGAAATACAGTCAGATGCACAGTCACACACAATTAATACACAAATCAACACTACCATTACATAGTATTAACAATTTATCCTTATTCTGTAAAATCCTATGTTTGAATATAGACTTAGTCTTGTAGAAATATCATCATGATGATGATAAATCATAATTATTATGATAATTAATCAAATAATAAATGTGTCACCCTTACCTCTGAAATTTCTCTATACCAGGGATAACAACCCAACAACCAGCCAGTTAGCAAACCAACCAACCAACCAACCAACCTACAGTCTAACAAACCAACCAACCAACCAATCGACAAGGTATTAAACCAAGAAACCACCAGTCTTGTCCAAACTTGAAAGGACCCAAAAACCCAAACCTCAATCCAGTGTATGTTTCTTACCTGGAAGGCATGAGCCTCCACAGAACTGGCCCTCATTGCCTTTGTTTGAGGAGATATTGAGTATTACTAACATAGACATTCACCCTACAGTAAGAAGTAAAGGCTTTGAAATGTCATCTGAGGGAAAATCTGAGGGAAAAATGATTACTAAAGAACCAAATTCCCATGGATATGGCCAACACAGTCACACAGTGTCCCACTACACAGGAATTTTTAATTAATTTAGTATTAAGTAAACATACATGTACATCAGTCCTTTTCCCATTTGATTAACCTTCACCCTACTAAGATAACTTTTCAGCAAAAGGGTAAAAGCCAACTGACAGACCAGCAAAATTTCCTAGAGACCACATGCAAACCTTAACAACCAACCATGGCCTTTTAAAAGCACTTACCATGCTGTGCAAGCAAGCAGGTACCATCCATGGCTTAAAGCTTTCTTGCAATCTACTGGCTTAACTCAATAACCAAGCAGCTAACCAAGCAACTAACCAAACAGCCAACTAACCAACAGTACTGCTATACTTGCTGTATGGCAGCTAGTCAGCAAAACATACTGCGCCTCTGCGAAACTCTGATTTTTTCAGTTTTCGTTGAATGTTTGGACAACGTTGCATCAGAATTTTTCCTGTTGCAGACAATATTTTTTCCAACACAACATTTGGAAACTACAGATGGGATGTTTAACCTCATATGGTGCAAATAGGACTGCCTGTACCTGTGGGTCTAAATGCGAAGACATTGTACATTTCCTTTTGCACTGCCCTGTGTACAACCTGCATAGAGTGACCCTTCTCAGCAACCTACAGAGCCTAGTAGGCTCTACTTTTGACTTGCGCAACTTGTCTGACCAAGCCAGTATTAATCTTTTACTGAGGGGTTCGCCCCTTTTACGTCTTGAAGTTAACAAAAAAATTCTGATTCTTACTCAAACCTTTATACTTAATACCCAACGATTTACAGTTGCCTAATGATTTATATTGCCGTTAGTCTTGTATATACGAACGCTCATTTGTTGTTTTGTCATTGTCATACCTGTAATTTGTATTCTATGTCAGGGGTGTGATTAATATTAGCTTCGGCTAGAGTTTCCACCTCTGTGTCTTGTACCATGTCTTGTACTTTGTTGTTTTAATAAATAAAAAATAAAAAAAATAGGACGATCACCTTATATGAGACAGGTGCTTTGCATAATACATAATGGGCTTCGCGCAGGTGCAGTACATTCTGCTGACATGCTCTGTATAGCCATGCTGACAATCAGTATAGGTCTAAACAGTGTCTTACCTGGTAGACAGGAACATGTGCCGTCTATGGGTGAACATGTTCCACCGTTCTCACAGGAACAACTCTCCGCACACCCTGACCCGTAACGACCTTCTGGGCATGTCTCATTACACCTGCGGGGGGGGGGGGTGACGGGGTAAAATTTACATTATGCACATTATACATAAGGCATCCAATGCGATTTCAGGGCAGCAAAACTGAAAATATTCTGAATAAGGAAATCTTTGACACATACTGCTTCACATTACCACATTTAAGTCAGCATTTCATATTTAAGGCATTTTAAAACTGCAGAAACAAGCCCCAAGATGAGTCCTTTATTTTCTGGGTGGTACCCTAAAAATTAGCCAAGGACCCTTCCAGTAATGATTTTCATCAGAATTTAGGGTATTTTTGCTCCATGAGGGTCAATATACATTGGGATAGTGTGGTTTCAACTCAGTATGTAGATAAGTGACTAGAATATAGGCTTTGAAAAATCGGGTTTTCAAGCCCTAAAACTACACTGGATGCCTTTAACAATAAATATTCTTTTGAACATGTAGCACATGACCCATTCATTCAGTGTGATATACAATTAATTTTTCTTCCCACGCATATTACATGTGGTCTTAACTAAATTACTTCTCATTCAAAAGTTATGTAAATTAAATTACTGCATTCTTTTCATGATTTTGTTTACTTGTGTGTCTATAATACAGGGCTGCATTAAAAAGCAGTGCCATTACTGCATGGGTCACCCAAATTTGACGAAATAAAAATAGAATAAAATTTAAAGCTGTGTAAAAGCAGTGTAACATGCGGCTAAAACTTGTGCAAAAGCCGTATAAATCACATGCACTAAAGTTCACATAACCACACATGATTATGCAAAAATCTACATATTGTGTCATGTGTTTTCCACCAAAAATTAACATGATCTAAATGAGACTTTTCCATGCATTTTAATCCAGAAATTTGAGTTTTTTTATCGTAGTTTGCTCGCTTGTAGATGGGAAGCTATCAAGATCTATACTATCATGAAAGGTCATCTGTGTTGGTAGTTACATGATTGTTTAAAGTTAAAACTTTTGGTCCAACACAAAAAATTCTCTCACCTAGAGCTCATCCACATAGAGTCACCCGGACATTTTGCTTCACTTGACACTGTAAGGATTTTAGACACTGAACAAGACTATTTCTTGAGAGGGGTGAAGGAAGCCATTTACATCAGGGCCCATCACCCTACACTGAACCGTGACGGGGGCCGACATTGTGTACCAGATACCTTTGACCCAGTGTTGACGTCACACTTCAAGGAAGCCACGTGACAAGCCTCACTGGGTCAGTCTACTGAGGAAGACCAGAGTGACTGGTCGAAAGCTCTATTTGAGAGAACTTTTTGTGTTGGACCAAAAGTTTTAACTTTAAACAAGATCTATACTGTACACCACATACTTGCTCCCGGTGTATCCTGCAGGACAGAGGCAGTGTCCGTCCAGTGGGTCACAGTGGCTGCCGGCACAGTCACACACGTCCGTGCACCCCTTCCCCCAGAACCCCTCCGCACACATGGTGTCACAGTTCACCCCTCCCCACCCAGCACGGCACTCACAGTGCCCTCCCCACGGGTGACACCTGGGGGAACACAACAGTATAACGTCAGTAAGAACAGTTCTCTCACAGTTAGACAGGGCAGACAATACTTATTTTCACTTGAGTTTAGTGGGGAAAGTTGACTTAAGTGTCTTTCCCAAGGGCACAAGATTGGTGGCATGTAAGGACTTGAAAATAATTTTTGAGAAAAGGTGCACTGGTGCACCAAACCTAAAAACTTGGGTGCATAAAAAATTGTTTGAGTGCACCATATAAAATAAAATAGAAAATAAGTAGAATGTCAGCAAAAACTAATCATGTTTCATTTCTAAAGAAAAGTACTACAATAATCATTTTTCTGCATTTTGGATGTTAAGAATATGCTTCATACTACAGTAACTATACATTTAACATCTTTACATATGTAAGCCTCATAATGAAAATATTTGGGTGCACCAGTGCACCAACAGAAAGAAATTGGGTGCACAGCTCCAAATTTGGGTGCACTCATCCAGTATTTCAAGCCCTGATACATGTAGCTTATATCAAAGCATTCTGCAACAAATGCTATACAGATCATGAGTGATAAGAAGAAGTATTGAATGAGTGAGTACTTGTACATGTAGGATATGACTGTAACCCACCTTTCAGTGTTGTCCTTGTTACAGTGACATGGGATACAGTAGGGCCAGTGGAACTCATCCGTGTAGTGTTCAGAATCATACTCAGGAGGGTTGTAGGGACAAACTGAAAACACAAACAAAATTCATATCAATATCACTAGTTCTTATTTGATGATACACAAAAGCCACCTTCTATAGAAACAGGGCTTCAATTACTACTTTGTACATATACATGTAAATTGGACGTACGCATCATTTTTCACTGCACTCGCACCTGAGTCCAAGTACCTTTACAGACTGTTATAGACGGAAGGGTAAAAAGGTAATAAGGTACCGAGATCATAACAGTCTGTCAGTTACTCAAGCAGCTGGATAGTTTTGAAAATGATTAGTATTTGTTTAAAGTAAAATCTTTTGATCCAACGCTAGTGATTCTAGAGCTTTTGACCAGTTACCCTGGTCTTCCTCAGTAAACTGACCCAGAGAAACTTGTCACATGGCTTCTCTGAAGTGAAAACTATTCTTTGTGTTGGATCAAAAGTTTTAACTGTAAAGTTGAAACTAGTTGAACACAGATGAACTTTCATGATAGTACATATGACGAGACATAGATGACTTACTGTTTCCCTGACACTTGCTGCCATGCCAGCCCAGGGTACAGAGACACTGTCCTCCACTGGTGCAGGTCCCTTCATTCTGACAGTTACATGTCTGAGCACAGTCTGCACCATAGCTGCCTACTGCACACTCCTCTTCACAACTGGAAAGACACAAACAAGGATAACATAAACTGCTTTTACCTTTTGTTATGTTTACCTTCACAGAAGGAAAGCATTTGCTCTGTTTCCTCTTCTTCTTCTCGAAATCAATTAAGTCAATGACCTGAACCAGACATCTGTCACCATGGTAACTAGTGTTAGCTTACATCATGTTGCAACTTTATAGCAGGAGGGATTTAGACTCCTGTCTGACCATATATCTGAATGTGTTTCAGTAAGAATTAACAGAGCAGACCATATGTGAAAAACAAGGTAAACATTATGCATTTCTTTGCAAATGTTACCTTTCTAGTCTTTATTTGGCTTTATTTTGGTGCCCTTTAGCCAAAACTGATCCTGATTTCATGGCACAAGGTCCCTATCGGTTTTGCTGTTATGCATGTTTGTCACAAATTTTGTTGTCCCATGATTTTCCATTTCTATTTTGAAATTAATAAAAAGAAAGAAATTTTAAAAAAAGCTTATTTTGCTTACTTGTCTCCAATGTAGCCGGCCAGGCAGCTGCACTCTCCCGTTGCAGGATCGCAGGAGCCGCCATGATGACACAGACAGGCCGACGCACAGTGGGCTCCGTAGGTACCCGGGTCACAGGCTTCACCACACACATCACCCTGAAGTACAAACAAGTCAACTTCAGGTAAGAAATTGGTAACAAAACTAGAGAAGTAACATTTGCAAAGCAAATGCATAATGTTTACCTTCAGTCATGGTCTGCCCTGTTAATTTTTACTCAAACACATTCACACATGGTACATGTACATGTACTACGAGTATATGGTGACAGGAATAGAGCAGACCATGAAATTGCAACATTATGTAACCCAACACCAGTCACCATAGTGACAGACATCAACAAATCATGTGTGTGTTTGGATGGTGTTCAGCACCAAGGACAGGCATGTTCACTTGTGTGTGGATGGTGTTCAGCACTAAGGACAGGCATGTTCACCTGTGTGTGGATGGTGTTCAGTATCAATGACAGGCATGTTCACCTGTGTGTGGATGGTGTTCAGCACCAAGGACAGGTATGTTCACCTGTGTGTGGATGGTGTTCAGCACCAAGGACAGGCATGTTCACCTGTATGTGGAGTGTTCAGCACCAAGGACAAATCAAGAGCATGGAATGAACCTACCTTGAAGCCTGGAGCACATGTACATGCTCCGTTACTGTCACAAGTCCCTCCATTCAGGCACGGACACCCAAGACAGCCATTGGGGTCCTCGCATTCCTGATCACACCTGAGAACAGAAACTCAGATATCATTCTTGCTGTCATATACCTTCTATATTTGTTTAGCATCATTATGTATAAGATATTTTACCTACCTACCTACCTAAGATATTTTAGCTGGTGCTGAAAGGCGGTTATACCGGCTATACAGATACAGAAGCTGGTGTGTTATGCTGAAAGGTGGTTATACCAGCTATACAGATACAGAAGCTGGTGTGTTATGCTGAAAGGCGGTTATACCGGCTATACAGATACAGAAGCTGGTGTGTTATGCTGAAAGGTGGTTATACAGGCTATACAGATACAGAAGCTGGTGTGTTATGCTGAAAGGCGGTTATACCGGCTATACAGATACAGAAGCTGGTGTGTTTTGCTGAAAGGTGGTTATACAGGCTATACAGATACAGAAGCTGGTGTGTTATGCTGAAAGGTGGCTATACCGGCTATACAGATACAGAAGCTGGTGTGTTATGCTGAAAGGTGGTTATACCGGCTATACAGATACAGATATTTTTGGTGATTTGTACTACTTGTTCTTGTTGAGGTCTCATCAACGTGAGTAGCCTGTGCCATCCTTCCTTCATATACAATCAAACATCCAACGACAATGTTGAAAAATCAGGGTTTTGCACAGGCACAGTACGTTTTGCCGACATGCTGGGGTCTTCAACTGTGCACACAGTTGAAACTGTGAGTTAGGCCACACCAATTTAATTTCTTGGTTAACGGATTCGCCCGCTTCATTTTTTTCTGATTTGAATAAAAATAAAAATTCAGAATCAACTGCAAAATGCTCATATTTTGCCCTGAACAGTTGATACAGTAATTCCATCTTTCAATGCAGTGGTATCATTAAAAGTTCAAAATTCATTGTTTAAATTTTGAACCAGCCTGGTGTGTTGACTTCATGGCTCCTATCGTACCATTTTGGGCCATAATAGGATGCCTAGGCCTGTTTTTATTTTTATTTTCATTTGGCCCCCCCGCTCCATTATTTTTCTAGAAAAATCCGTTAACCAAGAAATTAAATTGGTGTGGCCTTAGCTTATTGCACTAACCTGGGCCCTGTGTAGCCATTGTTACATCGGCACTCTCCTGTGATGTGGTAACAATCGCCGTTCACACATGTACACTGGTTATCACAGGACATGCCGTAGGAACCCTCCTGAAACAAACAGATAAAAACACTGTCAGTGCACTGTATCATGTATGTCAAGCAACAGTTTACCCACATGTGGGGTAAACACAAATGCTATCTGACTGGGCTGCAGTACAAAATTGGCAGCATTTCTGTGTACCAGGCAAACACACCAAAAACGTACAGAGGTGAAGAAAAATCTTGTCAACAACAGACTTTTTTAATTTACTTCATGGTTCATCATAAAACAAGGCTCATGAGAGCCACTCAAAATGTTTTGGGTTACTGTACAGCCAGAGAGGACAGATGTTTGTTGACCTTAGACTTGAAAAGTTTAAGGTTATACCCATATGGGAAACAATCACGTGGTAGCTTATTCCACACAGATAGTGATGTTGTTCTAGGAAAGAAGCTTTCAGCGTGGAACTTCCTCCTAAGAGGTGGTGAATGGAGGAAGAAAGGGTGATTTGCTTCAGTGATTAGTGGCAAGACGTGTCCTTGCTGAGAATGTTCGAAGTGGGGGCACTAGCAAGGACAATAGCGAGTTAAGTTCTGCAGAGCATTTGCTGTGAAAACAACACCAGGCTTGCAACATTACGCCTATGTGAGAGTGGCTGTAGGGTGGCAAACAAGTCACTTCCAACAAGATTTTGCAAGGTTTTGTAAGACTTACAATTACATTCTACTTGAGACTATTCAGAAGGAAGGTTTTAAACAGTACTTACAGGACATGTGTTCTCACAGCGAGTCCCTGTGTAGCCAGGTGGACAGAAACAATGGCTGTCATCTCCCCCACATGTCCCTCCGTTCTGACATTCACAACTCAGCTCACAGTTAGACCCATAGTGCTGACCATCACAACCTAAAAACAAGAAATCAGAGATTTTAGACTTCTTAATAAGCTCATGTATTTTTAATTTTAAAGTCTACCCAATTTCCTGTGTCTGACCTTTTAACCTCTCAATTTGTCATTCAGGATTCAGTTCAGTTCAGTTTATTTCGCACTTTAAAACAAAATATAACAATACAAATACAAGAAAATATAAATGAAATGTAACAGTGCAGGGAGGCCAGAAGCATAAAATGCTTATGAGCAGGCCTCCCTTCATAACGTGATTAATAATTCAAATAAATCGGATAAATAAGAAATAACTTAGGTAACGGGTAAATGAAACAAAACAATTAAATACAATACGATACAATACTATCTACAATAGTGAAAAGTAGAAATGAAAAGTAGTAAACAAGGAAATATAAACAAAAATTAGGAATGTGTGGTCTTATTTATGAAAGCTACTTTAGTATGATTTTTGAAAATGGTGACGGAGGGACTAATTTGTAAAGTTCTACTTAGGTTGTTCCAAATTGTTGGGCCCCTGTACGTGATTGTAAATTGACGTAGATTCGATTTGAATTCGCATTGGATGGCCTTAAATCATTGCATTGCAGGATACAAAAATGTTCCCTTTTTACAGTTTGTTTTGGGTTTTGGTAGCATAAAACTTACATTGGAAGAGGAACTTGACTTTTGACTTTCTGTCATTATGTCTGTCAATCTATTAAACCTTCTCCCCGCTAAGATAGCTTTTAGCTATAGGGACAGTGGAGATATAGGCATGAAACAGAGTGACTTACGGCATTGCTGTCCCACGTATCCATCGTCACAGGTGCAGACATCAGGTGCAGTACAGGTGCCGTGGACGCACATGTAACAGGAGGCTGCATACATAACATGAGTTGATATAAATAAACTATTGAGGATCCACGGTTTTGTATTCCCTTTTTTTATTTACAATTCAACATAGACAATACAAATCATGGTGGTGAGGTAGTCTTACTAGCTGTAGCTAATTTTAGGCTCACCACCAAACATACAAGAAAACAATAACAAAATACATGACAAGAAACAACAGAGAACAGCAAATGGGAGGAAATGGATCAATAAGTAGGTTTTGTAGGTTATGTAGGAGTTAATCTAATACAAACCGTTTTGTATCAATAACGCAAGTTTGGGTGATCGTCAAAATGTTATGTGCAGTTTGTATCTGGGTGTAAATCGGGTGATCCTCTAAGTAAAATGTTACATATTCCCTATTTAACACCGCTATTCCATTTCAAGATCAGAAGACACTGTGAAATGTGTTCTTTGAAGGGTAACTTACAATTTAAGAACACTAAGAATTGAGACTGTGTTACTTACGTTCACAACTGTCCCCATCTTGGAAGTACCCAGGACAGCAGGCGCGTTTGTTCACAATCGTACTCTTCACCACGCTTCTGTAAGCCTGTCGATACGCCGTTCTGTGAAAAGCAAAGCAGCAAGATTACAATATTGTAATTTTCATGACAGGTTATGCTATTTTCTCACACACCCCGAACTTGAGGGCTGTCCTTGGTGCTGAACATAACATATTTTTGCTCACATACATCACTTTGCTAGGAAATGGAAGAACTGAAATCATTCAGTATCTTACATGCATATAATACTATAGTACATCAGATTCTACAATTCAGGGCTGTGAGCAGTCAGGTAGAAAATACACCTTTTACCATGACTGTAATACCAGTGAGAATAGCACGTCGGCAGAACGTACTGCGCCTGCGCAGAACCCTGTATTTTCACGGTTTTTGATGGATTTTTGGTCAACGTTTCATTAGAATTTTGCCTGTTGCAGAGGATATCTTTTCCGACATAACCTTTGGAAACTACAGACAGGATGTTTACCTTATATGCACGAATATGAGACATTCTGCCGAAGTGCTATGTACAATACATTACGGGTTTCGCGCAGGTGCAGTACGTTCTGCCGACGTGCTAGTGAGAATGACCATAATTAACAATATTACAATTTTTTCATGACTACCGGTATATGAAGGCGTGGGGAAATCCTAAACAGATTTTGTCTTAAACTCCAAAAAAATGCATGGAATCTTTTAACTTGAAAGCCAACCATTGATAAAATAACAATGATAATGCTCTATACCTAATACTAACTTCTAGATAATACTCTACAATTCAATCCTATCAGTAATTGAAGGAAATCATTAATGAGATGTACAGGACTTACTTTGGCTGTTGGAAACAGAGGATCTGCAACAGGCATCGTGTTGTCAAAGTGGTGTACGGCTGGCGGTAGGTTTCAACTACAGTCCTTGATTCCCTGCAGCAAGATCGCAATTTTTTGTTATCTTGTTGTAATGATACTGACAGTTTATATTCATTTATTTCTGCAGTAGTGTTGTTTGGCAAAGAGGAAAGAGGAAAAGTTAGTTACTTTGCAGTTAAAACTGTAACAATTTAATCTGTGAAGTTAGTTTTATTTTTTTAAACAAATTTCCTGTTCATGAATTTGCAGTGGAGTAACTCATCTGATCAGGAAATATTCATACTAGGATTAAATAATTCTAACAGCAAATTCATCACAATAGGAACATAGAATTCCCACAATGCAAGAATAGGTAGATATATAAAAGACTGCTTTAGTATTAGATTTAGAAAAAAAATACCGAAACTCATGATTATATCAAAGACAGACTTAAGCTAGCCCTTGTTGTTTGAGTAATTAGGATTTATTATGGCTTCACCACAAAGGAGTGAGGACATATTACTTTCTCTCATGTTTCTTCTCCTTCTCCTTCTTCTCCTGCCATTTCGTTAAATGGATTCAATTTCTTCATTTTTGGGCCAGAGGGGGATGGATCGATTTTTGGTATGGGGGATGTGGTGAAGCCATTTGCTGCATTTGCTCCCGAGCAAATGTTGGCCTTCCTAGTTCTATGATAAATTTCCTCTACTCACGTGATCCTTCTGGTACAAACATGGGGTCCGTTAGGGTCCAGGAGTGAGGGGTCGGTTGTAGGTGCCATGGTTGTCATGGTACCGTTCGCCTCCCTTCGTACTCTGCCGACCGCCAGTAACTTCCCGTGCACGTTTGCCATGGAAACAGTTACCATGGCAACAAGCAGCAACATCGCGATGCATAGAGACTCCTTCCACCTCATGGCTCTGTCAAGTTGAGATTAAAAATATAACTAGAATTAGAAAGGTAAAATTTTCAAAGCAAAATGCATAATGTTTACCTTCGCTTATGGTCTGCTCTGTTAATTCTAATTCAAACACATTTTACATTTAGGGCATGTAGTGACATTCAGTCTAAATCCTTCCTGCTATAAAATTGCAACATGATGTACCCCAGCACTAGTTACCATGGTGACAGACGTCTGGTACAGGTCATTGACCTTATTGGCTTGGAGAAGAAGAAGAAAAAGAGGAAACAGCACAAAAACAATATGTTTTTCTTCGGTAAACATAAAAACACAATTTTTTCTTGCTCAACATGTACAGCTTCTCTCAACAAAACAATGGATAATACCTTAGAAGCAAATTGTACGAGAATTATTCTTTTATCGATAATCTATTGATGAAACATCCACTTATCATAAGTTATCTAATTTTACAATAAAAATGAGATGAGCCCAAATAAATTATAGAACCTGTGTGGGCTGTTTTTATAATAACGGTACTATTGTATTGTCACATCATTCTAAATTCCTTCACTGACAGATATATATAATTGATGTGTTATGAAATGCTTATTAATAATTCAGATACATGTGAAAGGCACCTCCAGACCCAAAACTGCCCATCCTATGAATAATTTAACAGCTATTGTCTTCAAGCTGACACCTGAGTACTAGTACCTGTCTGCTCCAAGCACAATTATTTTTCAAACTCACTGACTCGGATATTTATGTTAACCGAAGGAAAAACATACTGTTTTTGCTCTGTTTCCTCTTCCGTTCCAAACACATAAGGTCAATGACCTGAACCAGACCCTCTCTGACCATGGTAACTAGTGTTGGGTTACATCATGTTGCAATTTCATAGCAGGAGGGATTTAGACTCCTGTCACCACATATATGAATGTGTTTGTCAGTAAGAATTAACAGAACAGACCATATGCGAAGAAGGTAACATAATGCCATTTGTTTTGCAAATGTTACCTTAATTTAGAGCTTTAACTTAGTTGGGGGAAAATTCTAACATTACAAATCTTTCAATTCATTTAGATCTTTACAAAAGTGTATCATGAAGAATGACAGACAAAGGAAGCAAGATAATTTAGACTGTACATATATTATCTTACAAGATGGCTCTTAGCATGGCCAAGTACGTTACCATTAAAATCAACTTTAAATTTATACCAAAATCTTTAATAGTGGCTTTGCAGTTTGGGTTGCTGACTTAATGAAATATATAGTCCTGGGTTCGAATCCCAAAACAGTCCCCAAATGTATGTTGTGCCCTTGAAAAAGGCATGTAACAACAAATTCCTCATGGGCCGAAGAGTTGTAAGAGTTGTAAAGCCGAAGAGTTAGACTTAAAGTTAAAGTAAAGCCTCACCTCAACATTTTTAAGGGCCAATGTTGTATTTGTTGATGAATGTAGAAATGTCCCTCCCTTTGTAAATGGGATGAAACCTGAATCAGTCTGGTCTTGACGTGTATGTAGCTTGTATTGTACAGAACAGGTGTGTTATGCCTTAGGGCGGTTTACCATGGCCAGTTATACAAACAAACAAAAATGTACATTGAGTATTACTAAGCCAGGCTGTCAATTTGCAAATTAAAATTCACCCAGGCATTCAAATATAAGCATAGTTTTTGTAAAGACAGGCATTCAGCTTTGTAATACAGTATGATTATACCATCATACATGTAACGTTATGTAGTAAGTTTTAATTCTAACCTTCGGTACACAATTATTGTTCTTAGACTCAATTAGGTATGACCTTACAATTGCAGGCTCAGCTCTTTTCATTGTAGCTGCATCCTTGTACCTGTCCAGGGTCAAAATGTCATTTCAAGGTAAACCGTAAAAAAAAAAGGTAAAGGTATCCCCTAATAGTAGCCTTTTTGAGGCCAAAGGGGCAGTGCATTGTTCATCCACTGTGTCTAATGAAGGCTTAAAAATTCCTCTCCTTCCGCCACCTTTTACCAAAAATGCAACCAAAGTCAGGTACTACTAGTAGTATCTCTGCGATTTTCTGTATCTGTATCTGAATAAATATAGCCGGTATAACCGCCCTTTGGCATAACACACCAGCTTCGCAGGCACGCGGCGCGGCGGCAGCTAGCTATATCACACTGAACGACTTGTTACCCTCAATCTTTGCACATTTAATTGCAGGAGTTGTTTAAAGCTTTCTAGTGATGATGCCCCAACTGTGCTTGGTGGCAACGAGTTCCAGTCTACGATAGTTCTGGGGAAATACGAGTTTTTGAACACCTCAATTCTTGGTTGATAACTCTTTTGAAGGCATGACTATTTCTTGTTCTTTTTTGGGCTGGTATCAGATACTTAGTGATTTAAAACCCTGGGTGTAGTGACTCTTGTGGAAAGCTGTTATTCTCAAAGAGTTAAGCCTCATCAAGGACACAATATCCAGCAAGGAGTGAAGAATCAAGAACCTATGACCTCTGAATCTTTTGTCTGCTAATGCTATTCAATGCCACAACAGTTTGCTTAAATGTGATTATCTCTTGTCCTAATTCCTCTTATGTAATGGTGAAAAGCTTTCTGTAAATTAAGTTTGCATATATGTAACTTCATGTATACTAGTATATGAAGGGTAACCTTTAACATAAAGGGTATTATCTGTGAAATTTAATGGGTTGTTTTTGTCTCAAGACAGATAAAAATGGAACAAAGGCAGTTACCAGGATAAATATTGAATATGTCAAAAACCAATTGAGAATTTATATGAAAAGATTTTGTGCTATTCTTGAACTAACAAAACCTAGCCTTCGTTATACATGTTTTTGCCTCCTTTAATAACATACTGATTATAATGGTTCATCCATAATGATAGTATCATTACTGCATAACTAAGAATGACAAAGCACATTAGTCAAATGAGTAGACCCAAAAGTCAGGGGAGACCTCAGAAAATTATAGAAAGTGCAACTAAAATAAACATGAAAAAAAAACAGACAAAAAGGCATTTTGAATTCCAGGAAGGGAAAAATTCTGTTAAATTTACTAGCAAAAAAAATTGTCGCTAACAATCCTGCTCCATCCCCCTGGTAATTTGTGGTTTGTCCCTAACACTAACAGAGATGTCTGTGCCAGGTAGTACCTTGCACAATAGACAATACCATTATCTCTGTGGTCAATGACCGTAACTCATCCTGAACAGGAAACAATAGACAAACCTTCATTTTTGTCATTGAGACACACGACAAACAACATACAGAACAGCTGTGTTGGAAATATAATACTTTTCATGATACTCAAATAAACCATAGACGATATCATTATATGGTTAGAACTACACGAACAGTATAATTGTGAACTAGAGCTTCCTACAGGGAGTGCTTTAAGTGCTTAAACTATGAGGAAGTGGTCATCAAAATATTCCTTTTATTCTGAAGCCCCAGTACCCTGCACACTACCTATACAGGCCTCGAAATTAATTTTTCTTCCTATAGTCCCAGCACTGTCCCAAAAATAAATTTCTATTGTCCCAAAGTGAGGATGAACTGTCCCAACCTGGTTTTTTTAATGTATTATTTAAGACTTCAACTTGAGGTCAACTTTATTTTGCTTATGAACTCCCAGGCGCACTATAATTGCAGAGTAGGCGGGGATTTCAAGGGAACTTTTCCAGTCGATGTGTGCCTGATAAACAAAAGAAAGGCTGACATTCTGATGTTGATTATTTTTCTATTGGCTCAAAAATGTCCCAAAGTGTCTTTTAGTTGTCCCAGCCTAAATTTTAGTGGTCAGTGGCCATTGGACCACCAAGCCCTGCTATAGCAAAATTGTTACATTAAGAATAGTAACTTAAAGATAATTTTTACCCTACCTACATGTGAATCGAGAATTGGCCAGGCTACTAAGTAGCATACTATTTGTATCATGTCAACATTCCTGTTTGAATGGGCCTTGTATAAGTCAACATCTACAGTTTACCTACAACCACTCATTTACACTTTGCACATAACGATTCATTTGTTTGTTTACACATTGATTAAACAACAAATTTGGGTCAAAACAAAGTGTTCGAGAAACTAGTAGTGTCCAGTGTAGAGCTGTGTACCGGTACGCAGTACCGATACTGTACCGGAAAAATTGATTAGGTACAGGTCCAAAATACCTACTCCCTCAGTACCGGTACTGTACCTAAACAATTTCACACCAATTTTATGCCTATTTGTGACCTCAAATGTGTATAAAGGTGGTTAACAATGGGTCCCTGTGTAAGGACAGCGTGTTCATGAAAACAAAACACTTAGTTTTGCCTATATTTTATCTGAGCATTCGCCATAAACAAAGAATAAACCTTAACTATCAAGTTTATTTATGTTTTTTTGTTATTGAAGGAGTTCAGAAGACCATATAAATTGGTCGAATTGTTCAGGTACAGGTTCAGGTCCGGACCTGTACCTAAACCTGTGTACCTGTACCTGTACCTAAAATTTGTTTAGGTACACAGCTCTAGTCCAGTGTCAACTTTGTTTTGACCCAAATTTGTTGTTTAATCATTATATTGAAGCTAGGTACAGTAAGTGACCAGGCGACTTTTACATAAAGACTACCTGGCCAATATGACCACTTTTGGTGGTCCCTAGGGTATAGTGACCACCTGTCCAAATGGAACTGAAATCAATATCATATCGGTCACTTAAGTGGTCTTCTTGGGCATTTTTGCCTGTACTACAATTCTCAGACTGAGTGTATACTTGTACATGGTATGCGTACTAACTGTACTTTATTATATTGATTTAGTAATACCTATCATACAAAAGGCAATTTAAATACATTAAACTTTACTGCCATTTGAAAAACAAGTCGTAAAATCCCTTGACTTGAGAATTATATAACCCCTAATGTTCGACTGACTGGAACTGTATCTGTATCTGTATCTGTATAGCCGGTATAACCGCCTTTCGGCGTAACACACCAGCTTCGCAGGCACGCGGCGCGGCGGCAGCTGGCT